TTGAGCAAAATTTCCAGCCCCAGACAATGTGAAGGGTTGAATATCCAGTATATTATCCACAAACCAGCTTAAAACACCAGGTTCTGCTCTTGTGATGACTTCTCCACAGAGGTCCTCTGATCCAAACCTCATGATCCAAACCACACAGGCCTGCAAAAGTCCAAAGGATTTGCCTCCTTTTCTAAGTTTTTGTAGTGGTCTTTTGGTCTTTCTGGACAGGTTCTGAAGCAAGTATGGACTATAATTTCACAGAGGAAAGAGTAGTATACCACCAAATGTAATTAAAGAGGTAAAGAAAATAACAGACTATCTTTATGCACTTATGAAAGCATAACAAGAAGAGTAAAAATCCCTTTATTGCTGATACTGCATTATAAATATTAATTCACAACTCAAAATGGTAGCAAATGTTCATAGTTCAGGACAGGGTGTTTACTGGTTCCTAAAACCACCTTTCAGAAAAAAGCATAAGAAAGTTTCAGCATGTTTCTTATCAGAAAGCCTTGCTCCAGAACTCAGAAGTGTTCTACAGGCTTATATACATCTTTGAAAAACACAGCTTCTTAGCATACTTTATCAACTGCTTTGTTGATAAAGCAGTTTTATAACAATAGTCAACTCCATGCCGAAAGTTTGCCATTAAGATCCAGTTCTGATTCCCTTTAGCATACCAAGATAAAAGCTGAAATGGTTGATCATGAAAAACGTAGTTTTTCTGGAATCAAGGGAAGATTTCTATGAGAGAAAAGTGCAATGAATGCCAGTGGGGGGCAAGTAACATTATTTTTATAATTCACTTTTATATTTTTATATGCTGCATTTTGTGATGCAAATCGCAGATCTGCTTATGCAATGTGAATTTCTGTAGGTGCTTTTTACATGGTGAAATTTTGGTTCAAAAAGCCATGTGTGCAAAGTTTTGTTTCTGGTGTAAATTACATACTTAGGAGGTCTGTACACAGTACCTGCAAAACCACAGAGATTTCTTAAACATATTCATGATGGCTGGTTGGGATTTTTTTTCCCATATGACTGCAGGACCCAGAAGTGAGCTGCTCTGCAGGGTAAACATTGGGAGAATATGAACCCGTGCCCCTGAAACAGGACAAAGGGGAAGCATCTCCTGGGAACAACCTTTACAAGTTAGTGTGGTGGAATGTGGAAACACCAAAGCTATTCCACGTGCTGTAGTCAGTTTATTAGAAAGACCTTAGGCCTGAAAGAACATAGGAAAATACAGATATGGGCAAAGTGAGCAGATAAACAAAGACAAAATTAAAAATTATTTAATCTAATGGGGTCTCTTTAAACTCCTGCACCTTCGGCCTAAGCCTTCCTCTGCCTTCAGAAGATTTTCCCGATTCCTCCTTAGTCACAGCCTTAGTCTTTGTGAATGACACTCCTCACACCACAAACTCTCCTCAGCTTTTGTTACTTTATTTAGCTCTGGTCCCAGCATCTAGTTCTCTCCAAGGGCTGTGACGTGCATGGCCATGCTCCACACTTTATGAAAACCTCTGTGTGGAAATGTGATGCCAACTTCTTTACCTGTCCTCCTATTCTTCAGGAGGGAAGGGAGCATGGCTGGGCACACTTGACAGATGCACTCCTGGCCACAAGCTTGTCTTAGATGTGTACATTTGTCCTATTTGCTACCTGCTTGGGTCTACCTGCATTCCTTGAAGCGTATGTTGAAGCTGACATCCGTATAATGGGGTTTGTGAAATCTCTAGCTTTTCGCATCAATTTGGTCTGGTACAATCTCCACAAATGCCTTATCTGTCACAACTGGAGACCATGCTTGTTCCAGAAGTAACTAATTCTCTGAGCAAAGACAGAAAAAAAATATTTTCTGATAGATGGTACAAAGTACAGAGCAGCAAGCTCTCTTCTCCATTCTGCTTGGTCCTGTTCCTGGTCACCTACTGGAGGCCATTTCATGCCTTATGAGGACAGTTCATTTCTCTGCAGTGATGTACGGTCAGGATGCAATTCCATGCATTCAAATGCAATTCCATGATCATCATGTTTTAGCTGCTAGTTCTCAACTGCTCGTCAACTGGTGCTCCTCTCCCTCTCTAGCCAGTCACACAGTGTTTTTATGCCCCCTATTAGAAACATAATTTTTATCATTATATTAAAAAATATTGAGATTTTCAATAAAGTCTAACACCTAAAAAAAAAGCATATAATTGCGTATTTAGTCTTGTCACATCGTAACAGAAACTTGTCTTCTTTTTAAAGCAAAAAATCATTGAAAAATTATTTTTCAGTCTTTTCTGTTCAAGTGTTGCAGTAAAGGACAGGACAAATATAGGACGATACTAAAGACTAAACCACCACCCCCTACCCTTAATTGTAAATCCATCATTACATAACTTGCTATAGAATTTAAAATGAAACTGTGTAAACTTTACTACTAAGAAAAAGTCAGATATATTTAAAATACCATCTACATTTTTAAAAACTGCTTTCTGTCAGTGAGCAATGTGGCAGATTTTGCAATAGAAGTTTCACTGGTTGAACATGAAAATGGAAGTTATTATTTGTGGCTCTTATTGTTGAGAAAATACAACTATTTTGATGAAATTACCGCATTTTTGAAAAGTTGATCTTTGAAAACTAAGAGGTAGCAACACAAAATTCTCTTCAGCAACATACTACAAAAAAAGTTTCAAATAACCACCTTAATATTCTTCGAAGTACAGACTTTCTAGGTATCTGCTACATCTATAAATTGTGTCAGTGGATCAGCACACAAATAAGTGTCTTCTGCCCAAACGACATCCCAAACTTGATAATGTACACTTGTATGAAATAAATTGCTGTTTATTGATTCTGCTACTGTCTGGGTGCATTCCTCCCATTGTGGGGTTCCATTTCCGAAGGCTTGAGGTGGATAGGGAAGGGGTTACTCCAGCTTCAGGGGTTTCTTCAGGGTCCTGGATGCATGGAGGGGTTAGGTGCTCACCCCTCCCCCCACCCACGAGGTCCCATGGCAGCCGGAGAGAGACAGCACACGGGACTTGGAGAGGAGGCGAGAGAGAGAGTTTATTGTAGGGTAGAGGTTTATATAGCTCTTGGGAGGGTCAAAGGTAAGGGGTTACCATGTAAGGTAAGAGGTCTTACAAAACACCAATCAGGTAGGGAACAGCCAAATAAGGAAGGGGTTAACAAGGTCCAATGAGAAGACTTCTTGATATCTTCTCAGGACATTCCTGAGACAGAGATAAGAACTGGCCGTGGGAGATTTTGGGAAGAAGAAACATGAGTTAGCAAAGAGACCACAAAAAAGCCATTTTAAAACATGCTTAAACCACAGTTTTCCCATATAATGCAGGTTTACTGCTACACTACTGTAAATAAAAGTAGTTTTCAGTCCTTTCATCCTAAATGATAAAAACAGCATGGCAACAATAAAAATCAGTTACCAAAAAGTAAAGCCTCTTTTCTCTACAAAAGCCTTTTAGCAACATATGCATATCATAGGAAAGCTAAAGCAGTATGTATCACACAATCCATGAAGCATTTAAATACATAAGGCCATATTCTCCTATGAAGCACCTAGATCTAGAAGAAAGGAAAAAGTGGAGTCAATACAAATATGCCTATAAATAAAAGAAATAGACAGGACAAATTTATTCCTTACACTCACAATTAAAAAATAGCATGCTCCTGAACAGGCTACTGGACAACCTGCAGTAACTCTCTTCAGATTTCTAGAAAAGCTAAGCAATTATCAATTCCAACCTGATTTTTTAGCTTGAATTTCATACCACTTACACAAGGTCTTTTTCTGTTATCTGATCCATTATCAAATTTGTTGTGTATGGAAATTCAAGACCATGATCAAGCTGTATCTGTTAGAGATTGCAGTCCTTTCACTGTAAGATGCATTTTTCCGTCTCTCATCTTTGCAATTCTTTATCCAATTCTCCACATTTCTTCTGATCTTTCTTCAATTGCTGACACTGAACATGTACACCTGACTAAACGTACCAGTACCAAATAAAAGGGAAACAACACATTTTACAGTTACACATTTTCAAAAATGTTTTCTGACCCACGAAACTTCTATCCTAGTTATATCCGTATTTAGGTTTCCCATTCATGAAGCCTATTAAAGTTCTTTTCATAGAAGCCTTTCTACAAGAGAGCTTCTTGTCCTCCTTCTCCTGAGACCAGTACTCTGAAGTCCAATTCCTTGTATGAATGTATTATTTTAAACTTTGCTTATACGAAAACCTACAGCACAACAAAATACAGTGGAAGAAACTCAAGAAGGGTCATCAGTTTTGAAACTACAAAGCAAGTAGGTCATAAATACTTTGCCTTTTTTATATATACAAAACATGCCTAGTATAGACATACATGATGAGAACCACACATTAGTATTTATGTCAGCATTACGGATAATTTGCTCTCTACATATGGAAAAATGGTTTAACAAATAGTTGAAAGCATAAGATTTTCTGGTGTACTCCTCTCTAGTGTTATGGCTTCTAACTTTTGTAACTACAATCCAAACTCCATCTGGTTTCAGAAAAATTTAGAGTAGGATTTACCTGCAAATATCTTTTTCACAGTCTACATAGGTCAGCTCCTCTCCAGCCCTTTCTGAAAACATGTGCCCCTTTCTGAAAACATTAAGTGAAATGCCATCAACTAAGATACAAAAACAAAGCTAAAAATCCACACTTTACTCTGAATAAAGATCCAGTGCTTTTTCCATAACTTCTGAGCACTGAACAGGATGCCTACAGAGGTTGTGATGTCTCCATCCTTAGGAAACAATCAAAAGTTATCTGGACACAGTCCTGCACAGCCTGCTCTAGATGACCCTGCTTGAGCAGCAAAGTTGGGCAAGATGACCCTCAGAGTTCACTTCCAACCTTGACTATTCTGTGGTTCTACACTGGTTTTGTTTTTAAGGTGATTTTCCCCAGCATCTAGAAAGATTGATTTTAGTGACTAATAAAACAAGAAAAAAATTACTGCAATTATTCACACACAAAAGCAGGTCTTTATTTACCATATTTACAATATAAATATATTAATGCTACAAATACTCTCTCATGCTATTATCATGGCACTTCAGATAAGGTAACACAGTATGCAAGTAAGATGCCTTAGTTTTACTAGGCACCTGCGTGGTCACTGTCAAAGTTTAACCAAAACAAATATGGCACACGTCATAAGTGATTCTTTTCCAAAGGTCTATAAATCTTCAGTACTAAAAGCAACTGTACATTGGATTTTCATATTTTTGATCAAACAGATACAAGATTTTACTACTTTTATCAAAGGATTAGTAGTTTATTTGGTCACAAGTCATAACAGCCTTCTCACTTTAGTATTTTACAGCACCAACAACTTTTTGCTTTGCAGAGAATACATTTTTTTCCCCCCAAATCAACTGGGGAGCCATCACCAGCAGATACTGTTGATAATCTGAATTCCATCATTTCAGTTGTAGGACAACCTTCAAAAATGAGAAAAGGAACAAAATTAAAGTTGGATAAGACCAAAACTTAACCAGTCTGTGAAATGCAGCTTTTTGCTTTCTGTTTCAGTGTAATATGCAATTGAACAACCATGTCTTCGCTCTGAAAAGCACACCATCCCTCTCTCAGCTCTCTTTTACAACCTCACACAACTAGCACTTCCAATAACTTTCTTTACCCTTTACTGCACGCAATCCATTCCTCAGCTGCCTGTAGTCACGAAGTAGAATAGCAATGTCCAGGTCCAGTGAGATTCCTTCTGCACAAAGCAGAGATCAGGGACCATTTCTGAAGTGGATTCCTCCTTCTGTGCATATAAAACTAAGTAAGGAGATGATAACATCCCATACCTTGTGGGGATTTAAATCTGTCATGGAAAAATCCTTGTTTGCATAGTGCAGAGCTCATGACAAGCTACTATGTAGTTTAGCAGGAAAGCAAATGCAGAAGAAAGCAAGCTTTGAAAGCTGTTAAGCTGCTCTAATTTCATTAGAACACTATTTTCTTCAAATCCTCATTTTCCTTAGTCTTTCCTATTAAGAAATCTGAGATTCTCCAGTGTCACAGATCAGTTCAAGTGAAATCTTATTGTTTCACTTGAAATTTTCTTCTTGGGTTACTGTATTGGAATCTTTGTAACTTTCTTCCTGATTTACTATGTCATAGAAATTAAAGGACTCACTATGAACCAAAAAATTGTCCCATATGCACACCCAGACACCGACAATTTAAGAAGCTGAGGGAACACTAGAATTCTTGCTAATCTTTCAGAACAGGAAAGGGGTGATGGTATTAAACTAAAAGAAAGTAGATTTAGACTAGATATTAGGAAGAAATTTTTTACAATGGAGGTGGTGAAACACTGGAACAGGTTGCCCAGAGAGGTGGTGGATGCCCCAGCCCTGCATCTAGTCGACAATGTCCCTGTTCACTGCAGGGAGGTCAGACAAGACAACCTTTATAGGTCCCTTCCAACCCAAACTATTCTACGCTTCTGTGAATTTTGCTTAAAATAAACTCAGTACATGAGAAGTCGGGAACAAACAATTATATCAGTAAAAGCTACCTTATTAGCAGCTTCCAGTGCATTTATTAGGTTCTGCAACTCTTCCTTGTTCATCTCTATAGAAATCGGCTTAATTTCACCATTTTCTCTCACATCCAAATCAAGATTGAGGAGTGGCATTTGCAGCATGGAGATCTTATCACTGGAGAGAGCAAGCTATGCAGATTGACAAAACAACAATAAAGTGTAAAGTGGAGCCAGTAAGTTTTTAGTCTTTCATAATAACACATCTGCACTTTAAATTCAATTTGTGGTACCAGAACAAATATCAACATAACAAAATTAACTTCTCACAAGTCATCTCTGCAGTTTGGATTTTTTTTTCTCCTCCCTGTTATTGGGATTTTTGTTTGTTTGTTAATACCAACAATATATTGAAATAATAAAAAACCCTCTTCACAGCAGTACACTTCTCAAAAACAATTTGTTAAAATTACTAGGCTGACACATTTTGATAGTATAGGTAAAAAGAAAGGATACATTTCATCATGGCTCTTTAATGAAGTATATGAATTCTGAAATCACCGTACTCAAATTGTTTTGGTTTTCAACAAGAAGGGTCAATACAGAATGGGGCAGTTAGGAGAAAGAGGGCACTTTCATGCATTTTTCAACACTCTCTACAGCTGATTAAACACTGTTTGTCAGAGATCCTATTTGACAAACACTGATGAAGAGGACTATATACCAATTGTGCTTTTTTTTTTCTATTATACTCACTCTAGCATAGATAAGGCTTTTAAAATGTATTAAAATCAAAGATCAGTTGATAATACTAAAGGTCTATATATAATAGATCCTATCTTATAGTATATATATACACTATATATACTGTAAGATAGTATAAGATACTATCTTATCTATTTAGAAAACAGAATGTGATACAGCAGAGAAGACACAATGTCTTCGGTAGAGTTCAATCATGGCAAGCAAAAAAAAATCATAATCAGCTCAAGGGGGGGGGAAAAAGTGGTTTTAAGAAAAATAAATATAGTAGTTCAGACATGTACCAGAAATTTGCATCACAAAATAGAACGAAACTCAAAAAATCCTTCAGAAGAAAAAATTAAAACGAGTCACAAAAAAACCCCAAGAGTTCACATAAGTCCAGTTTGTATTTCTGTCAGCAGTAAATGCAGTTAGCAAGAGATCAACCCCAGTAACAGTTCATCCAAAGCATGTTATGATGCCATATTGGCTCCTGCAAAAACTTGTCTGTTTTGGGCATTACTCTTTGATTTCCAAGGCTGTTTGCTGCCGAAACTATTTAACACTCTTGTTAACACGGAAAACTATTTAACAGCTCTACAACTCCGTTTAACAGTTCTCATGGACTAACTAAAAATATAAACAGTATAAGTATTTTTTTTAAAGTATTTGATAGAGCTTAATTTAAACCAGCTGTCTTCATAACCTCAAAGCACCATCCTGCTTTAGGCAACACCGTTATCACTGGTTTATCACAAAGACAGTAAGTCTAAACATAAATTATTTCAAACTAATTATTGTTAATTGCAAAAACTAAAATTTTTTTAAAAGCCAGAAAAAATCATCCTGAATCAGTCAGCTAATCTTAAAATGGAATAAATATTTCTTCTTCCTTCGAGTAAAAATATACTTTATTCGGGCCCCAAAATCATAAAAGCATACAAAACTTTCAGGTGTTCCTGAATGGCACTTAATGTGTCCCTTCAGGAAAGAGAGAGATATTGCAGCTTTAAAAGAAAGGAGGGCAAAACCAAAATAAAGCAAACTAAAAAAAAAATTACTTTTGCAGTTTATACAAATTTCTGGCAAGTCTTTGATGTGTTATCACTAATGAGCTTTTCTCACACTTATAGAAATTGAACCATGCTCCCCAGGGGGCAGGCCTAGGGGGACTATATCAATAGTTACTTCTGTGTTGTAGAACATTTTTTTCAAACAACATTAAGGCAACTCTCACCTTTAACTGCCAGTCAAAATCCTGCAGCTGGGCAGAAGAGATTCCATTTACGCTTTCCACTAGGGCATTCCTGATTTCTTCCTTTCTACCCTTCAGACATTTTGTGATTGCTTCTTGGTAGTCTGAATTTAACTCACTTATCTGCTGAGCAGCCTACAAAAATAATAAAAACCGTGATTACTTAAACTATGAACCACAGAAATAACATGTATCACCTGCAATAGCTGTGCTCTAGATATCCAAGTTGATAGCTATTATACTGGACTGCATAGCCCCATCTTTCTTACACTGCCTTTAGTGGCTGCTCTCTGTGTTTGATAGTTAAGAGTCAGTGCTTTACCACGGCAAGATATAAAGAAAAAATAATGTCCTTGTCACTTAAATTAAAAGACGACAGAGAATGGAGGCCTTCTTAGATGCTACCCTACAATCAAAACAAAATCACACATACAAATAACTCAGGTTTCACTCGAAAAGTTTCTCAACATCAGAGTGCAGGCCAAATACATTAGCTCAGCTGTAACAGACATACCGATGTACAGACTTCCCGTGGCTACCCACGTGTTTTCGACCTGGCTACTAGCAGGTAGTCAAATGTGAGGCATACGCAAAAAGTAAGAATTAAGATTTCTAATAATGGAACAAGTTTTTGCAGAGTTTGTACATACTGGAATACACTGAATTATAGTCCCTGCACCACATGCTCCTCCATTCACTGTCAGATTTAAAAAAACAAATTATTTACATACAGCCAACATTTTAAACTACTTTAATGCAGTACTAATGAACAAAGAAAGCCAAATGACTGCAAATTGGTTTTGTTGTTAGAAAACAGTATTATTTACAGGTATATATTTTAAGTTAAACAGATTTAATTTGATGGTCCTCAAAATACGAATTTGAGTGATTAAACCAGTATTTTAACAAATATCCAAAAATCAGCATCAATGTCACTTTTTGTTTTAAAAGTCTTAGCAGTGTATCTCTAAATGCTGCTTGTCTTCTGCTTAATCCACTACTATTCAAATACTACACTATAAAAATATTTTAGGACTAAACGGACTGCAAAACTAATCACTCCCGTATGATCTCTCAAAGTCAAAAGCCAATCAGTGATGAGCCCTTACCTCTTCATCAGGTATGTTTTTGCCAACTGCAGTTTTGAAATATGCCATTGTTTCTTCTAAAACCTCCATCCACTCTGACAAGCTCCAAATGGTGCCATAATCCTGGTATCGAGGATATGCACGGCCACATATGCCATCAACTACTTTATGAAGGAACTGAAACAATGTGACACATAACTTGAGAATATAATTCTATCACAGTTAATCCACCAGCTATGAGACTGATCAAGCAATTCAGTTATCACCCTTCCATCCACTGGGTACTCCCTCAGTGCTTCCTGAATGCAGCATTCTAAAAAGTCTTTAAGAGGTAGTCCCTGAATACGAACTGTCCCCCCTTCTGCCCTAAAGCCAATTCACGAAGTTCGGCCACAGAAATCACAGCATGATTCAGATTCACCCTGAATGTGGATTTAACTGGTGTGCACAACTACACAGCACCGATGAACAGCGGAGCTGCCACGCCAAAGCCACCTCAGTCACCTCTGCACTGTGATGGCCAGGTTGCACAGCACAGCTCTAAGTGCTGATTTCCAAGCCTGCGGGCATCTCTGGTCTCCCAAACCACCGTCCTCCAGCACCGCGGCCTGGCGGGAGGGGGCGGTCCCACTCCGCAGCTCGGCGCCGCCGGCAGGCCCGGCCTCGCTCACAGGTGCCGGGGAGCGGCACTTCGGCTTTTCCGCGGCACACACCGCCCTCCCCGCCCAGGGCCGCGGAGAGCCCACCTCGGGGGTCCGTCCCGCCGGGAGCTTCTCCAGCAGCTGCAGCATCTCCAAACCCTCCCCGCCGGCCACGTGACCGTCATGGCGGCGGTACGCATGCGCACAGGCAAACACCCGCACTCGTCACCGGTTCGAGTCCCGGTCCCGGCAGTGCCCGGCGCGATTGGAATCGGAAGGGGTGCTCTGTGTGCGACTCTCCGTCAGACCCCGAGCACCGAGACCCCCCCGATTTTACGAGCTCTTATATGCAATAACACTTTAACTATTTTTGCATTCTGCCTGTTTGCTTTTTGACTCTTAACAGATTAACTTTCCAACTTGTGGCGCGAGAGGAAGCTCAAGGCTTGAGACAGGCACTACATCATCTGTGATACTAAATTAAATTGAGGAAGTTAAGAGAAACACTAACTACAGAAGTTCGTGCTGCCGTAGTGTTTTCCATAAACAGCTCACTTTTTTACGCTTTGCCAAAGTGGGAGTTCAGTGCGAACCAGACCATGGAGGAGGTTTATGGAACAGGTTTTAGCATTAGCAATGACCTTTCCGTGCCTTGAATTGATTGAATGTGAATGTAAAGAAGCAAAATTGCCCCGAGCACTTGTACGAGAAAACCTGTAAGAATTCAAATCCCAATGAAGATAGAAAACTGCACAGAGACTTATACCTGCAGGCAGACCTTATTTTGCTGAAATCACTGGGCTAATTTACAGTCAAACAACTGGGCTGTAAGAATACAAAAGCAGCTACAAGTCTGTACTGGTGGATATAAGGCCTGTGGAAACAACCCAGGCTGGTTAAGTCAGTTTGCAGCACCTTCTCCAAGCATCTGGCCTTGTAGGAACAATGTGGTGCATGGGAGTTTTGGAGAAGAAACAGAGGGGGAAGAACTGATTTCAACTCAGTCTCCCTCAGGGTTTGCTACTGCTAGTACATTAATAATAATAATGGCCCATCTTCGCGAACGAAGATTTGGGGAAAGACTGCTAGTACATTAGACTTTTAGAAAAGGCTTCTTGACAATTTATTGAATTTTATTATGGAGAAATTACACGAAGCTGCTGTTAATTTCAGGAATAGATGAACTTCCAAATAAAAAATTAATTTTCAATAATAATTTCCTTTATTCCCTTGGAATACGCTTTGTTAGATAACTGTAAACCTATCCAGTTTCTTTTGACTGTACTATGTTGCACACTACAAAATAGAGCACCAGGGGGAGCGTCTGCTCCAAACAAAACAGACCCAGAGACAACAGGAGAAATACGAAGGTGATCCAGACTTGGAAATAAATAAATTACAGAGAAGAAGGAGAAAGATAGTGAGCATCCCACTCAGTTGAAAGGGATTAAACAAGTGAAAAATGCAAGAGAGCAGAGATGTAAAGCATGAAAACAAGAACAGATATAGGAGGATAGGAGAATACCATCCCATATGACACTATCCCAGTGAACACTTTCAGAGAAGCTAATTTTTTGCAGGTCTGAAGAATAAAGAGTTTCACTTTTCATGGATATGTAGTTTAAAAATAATATTTTGAGTTCAGCCTACTGGCCTATGAGGAGCAAAGGGGGATGGTGCAAGGAAACCACAGTTGGTTTAGCTAAATCCATGGTTCAGAGCCCATGTTCAACTACAAAGAAGTAGGAGATATAAAGCTGGCCTTTGGCAGTTTGGAATTTGTTTGGACCTGCATTACTTGGATCTGCCATCAGGTCTTAACCCTTAAAAATACCTGCTTTTCATGCTTCTGTACCACAGCAGCAACAACCCACCCCACCCCACCCCTTTGAAGTTAAGCTCTCAAATAACCACAAAATCAGAGACAGGGAGGGAAACTTGTAGAACAGTGAGCAGACAGACAAGAGACTTCAGGGCAGCAAGGAAAGAAGAATTTTATGAGAGAGAAATGCAGAGTGAACTTTGCATTATTTTATCCACATTGCTGATAACTTATAGAGCTTTATTTGCTTTAACAGATAACCCACAACCTGCAGTAACTAAACCTATTTTAAAATGAATCCTTTTGTAGCCCTTGGTTTTGGAAGAATGGCATTAAAACATTGGGAAATAACTTAATCAGAGGTTCTTAATATTATAGTAGCATAAAGGTGTATTACATTGCTCTAAATATATCCAGTTGGGGAGAGCATCCGAGCACCAGTATAACTGTCCCACAAGGAACTATTAAATAGGTATGTCAATAGAAATAAATACATAACTGTGTATTTTACCAAAACAACAGGGACAGTAAATGTGTTTTTAAATGCAGTGGAAACATGAGGTTGCAGTTCAGATTATGATGAGCTAAATGTAGGAAAAGGGAGGTTCCACTGGTCCCCTTGCCCCTGTTGCCAGCTGTGCTTCCTCTCCCTGACCCTTATGCCAGCACAGGATGAAACTGCAATTTGTTTGAAAACAAATTGTTATTTTTGCACTGGTTTATGTTTTTCATGGGTTAGATTTCAGCCAGGTTGAGACAGAGCACTGCTTCTTACAGAAGAAACAGACCTCTGTCTCTTTTCCCTCTTTGGTACTGAGGGGGAAGACAGAACTACCCTTTCTGGCAGCCCATACTTAGATCAGATGAAACTGGTCCTGAAACTACAGCCTGACAAATTCATATCAATCAGTGAACCCCTTTAATTATTAAACCAGGAATCTTGAACGGTTTTGTAGAAGCTTACATATAAACATGCTCATAGTGATATGCTACAGCTGAAGGAGATTGAAAATGATGTTTCTAATATTTACACTCTGACCAGCCAGTGAAGTTCATAGTAAGTGAAGCTGGATGAACAACGTGACACTGATGCGTAGAACATACTTTATCAGCTATTCGCTCTTCATAATCCATAGTCATGACTCCTCCTGAGTGACAAATCAGTTTCTTAAATAATTTTACTTGTAAATTTTAAACACACAAAAGCATGAGATGTTTTGGTTCTCCTCCACCCTCTTCCCACTCTGTAAATATAATGCTCATGTATGTATTCTTTGAGACATGAAGAGTACAGTATGTCATACATAATGGATACAGTCTATGTCCACAGCTTTACACTTGTCTATCTTCTCTACCTGTTCCCAGTAAGGAGATGTAACAAAAGGAACTTCCTTAAATGTTCTTGATTTCACTTCTTACTCTAATATTTCAAAATTCTCTTGTTGGTTTCTGCAGCAGTTCTGTCCTTCTGGCAGATTGCACTGAAGAACTAGCAATACCTCTGAGGGAGATTCTTCTGGTTCACCTTTGAGACACACAATTTATATACCAGACTCTGTATTGCCTTTCACAGACAAAAACACACTGAAGAGATCATTCAAAAGATCTCTCTGCTACATGGTAAGATTTTTAGAGAGGAACTCCTATTGCTGGAGACACTCCAAAAATACTTAAAGTACCAGATAGGGAAAAATCTCATACATATTACTCAAAATCAAACAAATTAATATCATAAGTTTGTAAAATATCTGAACTATATACATCTCTGACACCTGCCTGGCTGAGGTAGTGGAAAAGACAGAACCTGGTATCACACCCAATATTCTGCAGGACAGAGGCAGAGAAATAGCTCAGACCAGAAGAGTGACCTTCTGTATAGTCCAAGGAGCCTGTAGTTGGCTTGAGCGATATGTCCGCTAAAGCAACAGCTCATAACTCAAGACAAACTGGAGTCAATAACTGGGACTCTGCTCACTAGTAACACTGGTCACCATCTTTTGTAAACAGCTGGACAGGCACAGACTTATTCTGCCTTTCCTCCCCTGTCCCCGATGCACTTCTTTGCATAAACTTTGATGGGAGAGGGAGGAGTCTTCATCTTCCATCCTACAAGAGTATCTATGAATACTTTCCTAACTCTCCTTTCCTACAATTCAGGCCCATTATTTCTTACACTGTGCTCAGGGAACATGCAGAGAGTTTATTTTTATCTGCTCTATTGCTATCATCTTATAAGGAAAAATCTATTGTCACCATTTCTATTCCTCTATGTCCCTTTCTTCATGCTTAAGAATTTTAAGTGAACTGAATACCAGGTATGTGTCAGGACTGGAATTTTACCCACAACGTGTAGGTCTAATGATTGTAGTGTCTGGAATGCAAAATGATGATGACAACAACAGAAAATTAGTAATGCCATTTAGGGCAGATGCAGTAAAACCATAAGCCAAATATTCCCTCCCTTCTCTAAGCCTAACCTTAAGATTTCAGTATCAATAATGAATGGTAAGAGTGTGTTGGTGCTTTTCAATAATCTCTGGACATCATAAAACAGAAAATAAAATGCCCTGTAGGTAAATTAGCCCTATTAGTAAACAACAATTAGTAGATGCTGGACTATGCTGCATAGCAAGTTGTACCAACACATCGTAATAGCAGCAGAGAGAATGTATTCCTAAAGTAATAAACACCCTACTAGGTACATCTCCCCTCATCTACACAAGGAGTTCATAGACTGTATTTATTATATAACTCTGAGTTGAGAGCTACTATGGTAGCTACTATAGATTTAATTTTTATTGCAGCAATTTTAAAACAGTGAAAGTTGGTGAAACTTATACTGGCAATATTCTGTTTTTGCTGAGAGAGGTTGTTTCAATCAAGGCATATAAAGAGAAGGTAATTTTGACAGACTAAGAAAAAGCAGTTTGTTTATACAGCTACATCCATAGTAAGAGTGCTTTCGCCAGTACAGCCCAGCGGTGCTTTTTTGACTCAATCCCTTCCAGGGTAAAAGGAGCCAACTTGCTCCCAAGTCAAATGGCCTTTCTCAGTCTTGTCAGTCTGTGTCCAGTTTGGCAGCACATTGTGCTGGCCAGATTGTCTGGACTTCTTTGGGGTCTCTAAATAATATATTAAGGGGCAGCTTTTCACATCTCTACTTCCTACTTCTGCTTTTGTCTTTTGCATAAGAGAAATAATTAATAGACTTCACCAAAACAAATCAAAACAAATGATTTGAAAGTAACATCATCTCACAAAGCTAACTAAGTATTCAAGTATTAATGTGAAAAGTGGATTTTGGGAAGCAGTTGTAAGAGTCCTGGACAACTTCCTTATAGTTACCAACTTTTCAAACCTTGCTAACTGTCACACTGT